GTAGAGACAGCACGAACAACACGAACAACAGAATGCAAGTGTATTATACAGAGCGGAAGCATGGAGACCTCCAATCAGCAGCTGCCACGGTGCCATGTAGCTTGGCCTTCAGATAGACAAAACAAGGGAAAAGTACAGGCTTCTGCACATTGATAGAATGATGAGTTTAACTTTAACAAAAGTTGCTTCAAAGTGTTATGAAATCTCACACCACACACACACACACACACACACACACACACACATGCACACACACTCAACAGGCCGCCCCATTGTGGTACCTGGTATTCCTGCAGGTCTCTCATCCCAGTTCCAACTAGGCCCTGTCCTGCTTAGCTGAAGTCTGATCAAGCTTAGCAGGCTCAGACTTCGAGATCAGACATCCACATGCAGGTGGGGCCAACATGACAGTGACAACCAAATCCAACGCAAAACCAGGAATAGAAATGACATAGAGCAGCTTCCTATAGATCTTTTGTCCTAAACATTCATTCTAAATTTGCCGTACAAAGCAGATGCTAGTTCTAAAAGTTTACGGCTCAAATGACTCAGATTTGACTTTCTGAGAATCAATGCAGATATAGTTTTAGTTTAACACAAAGAATGAAATACAGTATGTAATATAATCCATGTATTTAGTTCCACGTTCTCAAATCAGCAGCTGCTCCCACTCATTCTATCAGCTCTACACGTTTTCTAATAAGGTAATGTAATAAGGTAGAATGCTGGAATCTGATTTGTAAATAAAATGTTTAAAGATAAATTTATCAAGGACAATGTGCAGTTACAAAAATGGCTGCTCCGGATTTTTCAAACATATACAGTAACTTACTTTAAAAAGTGCAAATTACCAACGTAGCTGCACTCACAAGTCACAATGTGCAATATGCAATTAATAATTAACACTTAGCGGCAAATGGAGAATGTGCAAATTATTGGTTAGGGCTAGGGTTATACCAGGGTTAGGGTTATACCAGAATGTGCAAATTACTGGCATAAGGTGCAAGTCATTTAAATGCAATACCATTTTCAAACAAATACACACTTTTCAAACCAAACAAGACTCTTTCTGTTGGAACAAAGAAAAGTTTATATGACATGAAATATTCAGGCTTTTCTGGTTCCTGTGCAGCCTCCATGGAGTGTGTGGGATGCTTCATTAGTGTAACATTTATCTAAAGTGAAAACGAGGTCTTTTGAAATGGAAAACCAGCCTGATCTATTTGAGTCCATAAATATATCTGGAGTGTTGGCTGCGTCCCATTCATCCTGCCAGAGAATTTCCTGTGTTTTGTTTCTATTCACACAAACAAAACCTCCTTAATCCACTCTCAAAACCCAATAAAGCCCAATAAAAGCCATCACTTAATATTGTAATCTCGCCGTGGGACCTCCCAGAGCGAAACAGCAACGTTTACTTGACACAGTTAATCTAGCGCCCGCCCCCCATGAAGAAGGCCTCCGGTTTGAAAACATTTATCGCCTACTTTGCCTTTCAGCGGGCGCATTATTCACTGTTCAGGAGAAACACACGCAGAGGCAGCAGTTTTTCCACTGAGCACGAGACTGAACCTTTCACCTCGACATCGGGAGTGGTGAAAGGTTCAGACACTGAAGTGGAAGCAGTTTAAAGCTCAGGTACCTAACTTGTTTGTCCCATAACTAATGTATGTCCTCTTTTATATAGAAATAACCTGGAAAAGCTGCAATCCTGAGATCAAATCTGATTGGCCAATACAAGCTGTAGTCTTCTCATTAGAAAACGTTTTATCTGGTAAGAAAGAGCCCTATTCCATACGAGTAAGGGTGGTCAGGGTGGTTTACTTAATTTTTCTGTTTGAAAGAAGTGACATTACAATAAATGTTATGGTTAAAGCTGCATTACCTAACTTTATTTTTATATTCATTACGGAAATTCAATCTATATCCATGCAATGCATTGGGATATACGTCCTTTTGAAGAAAAAGTGGTGCAGATTTGTGCTGGCGTGTCAATTTATTTTAGATCAAGTTTTGGTGCAACAAGGAAGAGAATGTGTTTAGGGTCCAGATTGTGACCAATCACAGCGGACCACTGGCCCCCACTTTCTTGAGAAAAGCCACAGGTCTCTCGTTAGCACAGACAGCTGAGGTAAACAAGCGGCGGAGGCTAACCTGAAGCTTCCCGTGTCTTCGTTACTGCTTACACAGCGAGACAGCCAACCAAAAGAAAGTCTCGTTCCTCTGCTCTTCCTGGTTCTATCATTCTATGGTCACGCCATCCACGTTCAAATTTGCGATCCATATTGTGAGACGTGAGCTCCGTATACAATTAGCACATGAGCGCAGGCTGAGGGGGAGGGGGGTAGTGGGGGGCAAAACCTCTGTGCGGGGAGGGCGAGTAGAAAGAGCTCTCATTCGAAAATGTTTCAAAGTCAGTGAGTGCAGCTTTAAAATAGGCATGCACACATATTCAAGTACATATACATTTTTGCTAAATGCAACACATTTAAAAAAATCGTTTCTATTTGGTGTATTTTTTTTTTTAAAGGACAGTGTGTATTTCACTTTGGAGAGACCCAAGAGGGAAAATGCAGTTAGAAGTTTGTTGATTGAGTATGTTTGGCGCCCTAGGCCCGGGAGAGATGCTGATGAGTGCGGCGCTTGCTCGCGCGCATAATCCCCCCCGGGGCCTAGGCACTGGTGACGGCAGAGGCAGTAGGTAAGCACGCTTCGATGAGAGAAGGAGGAGGTGGGGCGGCGGAGGCTTTGCAACCTTCAGAAGGCCGGGAAGTGGGTGTCTCTGGCTTTTAACTTGCTGTCCTGGTGGTTATTGGTGGATAAGATGTGGGCGTTTTGCTGGTGTAATGAGTAGAGGATGAGCAGGCTTGTAGCAGCGGCCGGGTCTACCACAGTGAATTTTCGCGAAGAGCTCCATTTCACTTTGGAGAGACCCAAGAGGGAAAATGCAGTTAGAAGTTTGTTGATTGAGTATGTTTGGCGCCCTAGGCCCGGGAGAGATGCTGTTGAGTGCGGCGCTTGCTCGCGCGCATAATCCCCAAAAACGGGCAGAGTTATCTTTGCACGCCGGGACGTGAGCGCTCGCTTCACGATCAACCGGACGCTGCCTGGGACGTGAGCGCTCGCATCACGATCGATACCAGACGCTGCAGCAGAGTTGTCTTTAAGCGCCGGGACGTGAGCGCTCGCATCACGATCGGTACCAGACGCTGCAGTGGAGTTATCTTTGAGCGCCGGGACGTGTGCGCTCGCATCACGATCAACCGGACGCTGCCTGGGACGTGAGCGCTCGCATCACGATCGATACCAGACGCTGCAGTGGAGTTATCTTTGAGCGCCGGGACGTGAGCGCTCGCATCACGATCGACCGGACGCTGCCTGGGACGTGAGCGCTCGCATCACGATCGATACCAGACGCTGTAGCAGAGTATCTTTGAGCGCCGGGACGTGAGCGCTCGCATCACGATCAACCGGACGCTGCCTGGGACGTGAGCGCTCGCATCACGATCGATACCAGACGCTGTAGCAGAGTATCTTTGAGTGCCGGGACGTGAGCGCTCGCATCACGATCAACCGGGCGCTGTCTGGGACGTGAGCGCTCGCATCACGATCGGTACCAGACGCTGCAGCAGAGTTATCTTTAAGCGCCGGGACGTGAGCGCTCGCATCACGATCAACCGGGCGCTGTCTGGGACGTGAGCGCTCGCATCACGATCGGTACCAGACGCTGCAGCAGAGTTATCTTTAAGCGCCGGGACGTGAGCGCTCGCATCACGATCAACCGGACGCTGCCTGGGACGTGAGCGCTCGCATCACGATCAACCGGACGCTGCCTGGGACGTGAGCGCTCGCATCACGATCAACCGGACGCTGCCTGGGACGTGAGCGCTCGCATCACGATCAACCAGACGCTGTAGCAGAGTTATCTTTAAAGTGCGTGCCGCCACCAGAAATCCTATGGTTCACTTACTTTGCTTTGTATTGCTTTGCTGGGAGCTTACGAGGAAGCCAGTAGCCGTTGTGCAGCCAAGATGGCGGACGCGTCTGGCCTGATGTAGGCGGAGAAAGCCGAAGAGGACCAGCGCCCCAGCTGTTGCAGAGAGGTGTGGGGGAGCCCCAGCGAGGCCGCGCGCGTGGCAGCGCCTATCCGGAAAGAGTGGGCTGTGTAGAGCTGGGGAGACAAATTGCAGAGAAGCAGTAGGGATCTTAGTTGAGCTCTGAACCAGGTTGCTGTCATGGGAAGAATGTCTGGAGTGAGAAATAGAGGTCCGTTAAAATCTCCTTTTTGCAGCGGAGGCGAGTGTAACGCATCATGGATATGTAGGGGCAGAGAGATGTGTCCGAGCGAACTATTACTATATTGCAGGCTCCTTTGATTTTTGAATGTTTGAGATGAAGGTTGAAATGGTCAGGGGACATTATGTTGGGTGAAAAAGAGCGACCTTTGTTTAATGCTTCCACTACGTCGAGATTATCACACATGACAGAGATCCTCTTTCTCTGCCACGTGTGATTCCACAGCGCGCAGCCACGACCACTGGGAATATCTCGTGTAGGGCAGAGGAGATGCTCCGGTGGAAAGTAGCGGCCACGCTCGGCAAACCAATGGTCCTGGAAGAATCCCCCAAAACCCACGGAAGGGGCAGCGTCCGTGTAGAAGCGGAGACCTGTAGGGGCAGAGACATATCGGAGAGGGCCATTGATGTTGCAGGCGCCCTTACGCTTAGAATCTTGGGTTGGAGAGTAGATAATCAGGATAGTAGGATGGTCGGGAAAAGCCGTGTCTCGGACCGCATGAAGGTTGATGTTAGCTCTTGGTTTAATGTTCACCTTCCATGCCTTACAGCTAGGGGGCTCTAGCGCTCTTTGTATAGCGCACATGTTTCTTCTTGTATGCAGACCGTAACAGGTGGGTGTATGTGGAACCTGCGTGGGGTTGACGAAAATAAATGTAACGAACTACAAGTGGAGTTTATCTTGATTTAACATGGTAGCAGAGGATGGTTTGTAACTACAGAGTTCCACCACCGTTTGAAGAGGGGAAACTCTACGAAAGCTGGAAAAATGAAGTCGGCATTTGGGCCAGAGTCACGGACTTGGAAAAGAAAAAACAAGCCCTCGCTGTTGCTCTGTCGCTGTCGGGCAGAGCACGGGAGACTGCAATGGAAATACCGGTAGACGAATTAAATGAAGACACAGGAATGAAAATTTTGCTGGATAAACTTGACAGTTTGTTCCTCAAAGAAGAAAAAGACAGGATTTACGAGGCATACACTGATTTTGACCGCATTGTTAAACATGAAAGTGTGTCCATGGCGGATTATATTATTGATTTTGAACAGCGGTATTCACGTATGCGCAAACACAAAATGGAGCTACCTGACGCAGTTTTAGCTTTTAAGCTGTTGGACACTGCGTGCTTAGATGGGACTGACAGGCAGCTGGCTTTAACAGCATGCACAGATCTTACATTCGCCTCGATGAAGTCTGCTTTGAAGAGGATATTTAGCGGTAAAATGAGTGCTGCATCAGAGGGAATCAGTCAAGAGTCTGTGTTTGCCACGGAGCAGCATCGGCGGGATAAAGGTAAAACCTGGCAACAAAGCGGCAGACCCAGAACTCCACAACCCGGTACGAACCCGTTGGACAAGTTCGGACGCCGATCAAAGTGTGCAGTGTGTCAAAGCACGTTTCATTGGGCCAGAGATTGTCCACACAAAGGTGAGAGTGTGAATATAACTGAAGATAAAGCTAAAGATAAATCGGGCGTTGAAGAGTGTAACATTACATTGTACACCAAAGCATCGCCAACAGATGCAGAAATATTCATGACGGAATGTTTTGGCTCTGCTATAATAGACACTGCGTGCACAAGAACCGTATGTGGACAAGAGTGGTTAGACAACTACATTTGTGTGTCCGGAAAGAAAAACGTCAAGTCAATGAGAGCAACAGAAATGCAGAGTCACAGGCCCTTCAAGTTTGGGGACGGAAAAGTAGTGTACTCTGTCAAAAATGTTAAGATACCGGCCAAGATTGGTAACACAAAATGTAATATCGAGACAGAAGTTGTTCCTGTTAATATCCCTTTGCTTTTGAGTAAAACATCTTTGAAACGTGCTGGGACAGTTCTGGACATGGAAAATGACAGTGCAGTAATGTTCAATCAACCTGTCAAACTGGATTTTACAAGCTCAGGACATTACTGTGTGAACATAGTTGATAATGAGAACAGTTGTCCTACAAGTGCTGATCAGATATTGACAACTATTGAAGAAGAAGTACTTACAAACACGAACGAAATGAACACAAGTGAGAAGATGAAAGTTTTAGAGAAACTTCATAAACAGTTTGGGCATGCGTCTGCCGACAAGTTACAGAGACTTTTGAGCAGTTCTGGCAACAAAGACACAGAATGCATTAGCCTATTACAAAAAGTAATTGGTCAATGTGAAGCCTGCCAAAAGTACTGTAAGACCAAACCCAAACCTGCCGTCGGTTTACCACTTGCGTCAACATATAATGAGACTGTGGCTGTAGATCTGCATGAGCTTCAGCCAGGAGTGTGGTACCTACATATCATTGACCAGTTCACTCGATTTAGCGCGGGGAGTGTCATTACCACAAAGAGGTCTTCTGAAATAGTCAAACATTTTATCCATGATTGGATAAGTGTTCACGGTCCACCACAAAAGTTGTTCAGTGATAATGGTGGGGAGTTTAATAATGAAGAAGTTAGAGATATGGCTGAAAACTTTAATATTGAAGTTAAGACAACACCTGCCTACAGCCCTTGGAGTAATGGACTGTTAGAGCGTCATAACCAAACCTTGACTGAAATGATGCTGAAAGTGAAAGCCAACACAGGATGCGACTGGAACATTGCTATGGACTGGGCTCTTATGGCAAAGAACTGTATGCAAAGTGTTCACGGTTACAGTCCACATCAGCTCGTGTTTGGGCAGAATCCAAACTTACCCTCTGTTCTAATTGACAGGGCACCTGCATTAGAGGGCACCACAAGAAGCGATTGGGTTGCCAAACACATTTCAGCTCTGCACAATGCACGGAAGGCATTTACAGAAGCGGAGTGTTCAGAGCGGATACGGAGAGCACTGAAGAAACAGCTGCGTTGCAACGATGAGAAGTATGAACTTGGAGACAAGGTGTTTTACAAACGTGTGGACTGTGCAGAGTGGAAAGGGCCAGGAGTGGTCATTGGACAAGACGGTGCTGTTGTTTTTGTTCGACATGGAGGTATCTGTGTCAGAGTTCACCAACTTCGGCTGAGAAAGGTTACTCAGGACCATGTGGAACCTCTGATTAACTCTGAAATTGAACAACACAACACCTATGACATAAGTGATAATATAGAAGAAACAAATAGTGAAAACATTGACAATGACCGACTGAATGCTTCTGAAAATGCAGTGGCTGAAGGAGGTTTTGATGGAAATGTGAAGACTGGTCAAATTGTGACATTCAGAAACACAGAAAGTGAAGCCTTGCAGAAAGCAAAAGTGTTGGGACGTGCTGGTAAAGCAAAAGGAAAATACAAGAACTGGTACAACTTGGAGCTACTTGAGCCTGCTGAGAGGGCAGGTACCAGTGAAGCTGTTGATTTGTCACAATTGGATGATCTTCGGGTGCAAGATCAGACGCAAAACACAGAGCCATGTGAAGATGTTTTTATCACAAAGGATGTCTCATTTGATGAAGCTAAAATCAGTGAAATAAAAAGCTGGATACAAAATAATGTGTATGAAGAGGTTGAGGACAATGGACAAAAGTGCATCTCTACTCGGTGGGTGTGCACTCTGAAAGAGACGGAGAATGGATTAGTTCCTAAAGCCAGGCTTGTTGCACGAGGATTTGAAGAGCTACAAGTTTTGGAACTACAAAAGGACTCTCCAACCTGTGCTTCGGAGTCTCTGAGGCTCTTGGTGGCAGTGAGTTGCCAGAAACAATGGCAACTTCATTCAATGGACATCAAATCAGCTTTTTTACAAGGACTAGAACTGTCTTGAGACATTTTCATCAAACCGCCTCCAGAGGCCAATAGTACAGGCATAGTCTGGAAACTGAGAAAATGTGTGTATGGTTTAGCTGACGCTTCACTGTATTGGTATAACAGAGTAAAAGGCATAATGATTGAAGCCGGAGCCGTCATATCTAAAGTAGACCCTGCAGTTTTCTACTGGTTAGATAAGGAAAAAAATGTAACTGGTATACTAGCAGGTCATGTGGATGATTTCATTTGGGCGGGTACAAAAATGTTCTCTATGAACGTCATACCTCAAATAAGATCCAAATTCAATGTAGGTCGTGAAGCTCAGCATAGCTTCTCTTATGTGGGTGTTGATTTTGTTACTTTAGGCAAAAAAGTCCAAATTCAACAAGAGACATATATTCAGCATTTACAGCCCATCCCTCTTGCTCCTTCACGGGCTGCTGAGCCAAGCTCATTGCTCACAGAAACTGAGAGAGACCTTCTAAGATCTAAGATAGGGCAACTGTTGTGGGTTGCCAGACAAAGCAGACCTGATGTTATGTTTGATGCAAGTAACTTAGCATCAAATCTCAAGCAGGCTACTATACAAACCATCAATGAAGCAAACAGAGTTGTGTGCAAACTTAAAGCCAAATCAGTCGAGTTGAATTTCCAGCACCTTGGTAAAGACAGTAGCTTAAAGATTGTTACTTTCACTGACGCTTCTTTCGCTAACCTATCAGATGGGGGTACTCAAGGTGGGCACCTTATTGTTTTAATGGGTGACAATGGACACTTCTCTCCAATATCATGGCAGTCAAAGAGGATCAAGAGAGTTGTCAGAAGTACACTTGCAGGTGAAACGCTAGCAATGTCTGAGGGAGTTGACAATGCCATTTTTCTTTCTACATTGTTTTCTGAGCTGAGTGCAGGTTGTACAGATCACAGTGTGCCAATAATCTGTGTTACTGATAACTTTTCTCTTGTTGATGCACTGAAGTCTACAAAGTTTGTGACTGAAAAGAGACTACGCTTGGAAATTAGTTCTATAAAAGAACTGATCCAAAACAAAATGGTTCAACAGGTGGTGTGGTCAGAAACCAAAGACCAACTTGCAGACTGCCTAACAAAAAAGGGTGCCTCTTCAGCTAGGCTGCTAAAGGCTCTTCATGAAGGACAGTGGGCTGTTGGGTGACCATCTGAATGTTATAAAACGATTCTGTTAATAATGTTTACATGTCCATGTTGTGTTAAAAAAAGAGGGTTTATTTTTTTATTTTTATAAAGAGAGTGAGTTTGTTAGCTCTTGGTTTAATGTTCACCTTCCATGCCTTACAGCTAGGGGGCTCTAGCGCTCTTTGTATAGCGCACATGTTTCTTCTTGTATGCAGACCGTAACAGGTGGGTGTATGTGGAACCTGCGTGGGGTTGACGAAAATAAATGTAACGAACTACAAGTGGAGTTTATCTTGATTTAACAGTTGAGTGAGCAATGGTGAGACGCTTATGCAGAGAAGCCATAGAAGGAGAGCAGGAAGATGCTGCGAGGAGGGCAGACATGTACTTGGAAGATGAGCCGGAGTTCAGTGCCGCTGCAGGATGGGCAGCATGACGGGGAGCCTGCGATCAGAAGAGTGAAGAATACAGGTATGGATGCCTTTGATTAGGAGTTTGATTGACAGCTCGGCGCAGCTACTCGGCCAGCTGCATCTGATAGAATCAGAAGATTAAGTAGAGAGATGAAGCATGACCGCCGAAGCGACCCTGGGAGCATAGGTGCGAGTCCGGCGCAGCGCGGCATACTCAGCCGGGCTGCATCCATTAGAAGCAGGATAAGCTTCTGAGAGAGTGGGTTGCAGTAGCAGTAGCAGCAGCGGCAGCAGCAGTAACCTCAGATAATAACAGCAATAGTCCTGTATCAAGCCGCGGCAGCAGCAGTAGCAGCAGCAGCAGCATCCTTAGAAAATAACAGTAATAATTCTGTATCAAAGCCACAGCAGTAGAATGTTGTTGTAGCTGTTCAGTGTTTCAGTAAAAGAGATGCAAGTGAAGAGAGATGGCAAAGTAAATGAAGCAGCAGCAGCAGTAGTAGCAGCAGTAGCAGTAGCAGTATGAAGCAGCAGCAGCTGCAGCATCCGTAGATAATAACAGCAATAATCCTGTATCAAAGCCAGAGCAGTAGAATATTGTTGAAGCTGTTTAGTGTTTCAGTAAAAGAGATGCGAAGTGAAGAGAGGTGTCAAAGTAAAGAAGCAGCAGCAGCACGGCAGCAGTAGCAGTATGAAGCAGCAGCGGCAGCAATAGCAGCATTAGCGGCAGCAGTAGCAGCAGTAGCGGTAGCAGTATGAAGCAGCAGAAACAGCATTAGCAGCAGCAGCAGCAGCACAATGCGATTCATACGAACAACAGACGTGTCACGCCAGCGTGCGCCGCTTGTCTCCGTGAGCCAGGTTACATACGTGTCTGAAAGAGCCAAGCCGTAGAGACAGGTGCCGCCCGGGAGCCTGCGGAGCGGCAGCGGCAGGAACAGCAGCAGTGGCACATGTAGTAGTAGGAGCAGCAGGAGCAGGCAGCAGGGACAGGCAGCAGCAGGAGCGGCAGCGGGAGCGGCAGCGGGAGCGGCAGCGGGAGCGGCAGCGGGAACAGGCAGCAGCGGGAACAGGCATCAGCGGGATCAGGCATCAGTAGGAACGGCAGCAGCGGCATATGTAGTAGTAGGAGCAGCAGGGACAGGCAGCAGCAGGAGCGGCAGCAGGAACAGGCATCAGCGGGAACAGGCATCAGCGGGAACAGGCATCAGCGGGATCAGGCATCAGTAGGAACGGCAGCAGGGACCGCAGCAGCGGCGGTCAGAGAACCGTGCCCGCGGTTGTTTAACAGCCTGAGGAAATAAATCAACCCGAATCCGAAACATTCCCATGCGAATAACAGATGTCCCCTGGAGCCATCTTGCTGCTTTGGTTATGGCAGATACGCATGAACGATCACTTTTCCATGCGTTCATTAGCTCAAACTCCACTTCAAACCCATTGCAGATTCACATTGGGGCACTTTCAAAATGCAACAACTGCAGTTTAGTTACCCAATTTAATACTAGTGACCTAGCTATTTAAATGCATGGCCCCTCCTTCCTCCTGCAGATAGACGAATTTAAATACATTCATTTAACAATAGTGACCTGCGAGTAATGAGATTAATGCTGTAAAGATGGCGCCGTGGCAAGAGTTCTGGTGTGTGCCGTCTGGAGCACGATGGGGTAGTCTTTGCACATTTTTTCCAACGTGGTTTTACTGCAAGTGGCAGAACATGAATCTGAATTATGCACATTGCTCCTCTTATATCCCTCAGACAATAGAGATTGATGCAATTTAATATGCACTGCCCCTCAGTTAGCTCAAACACGTGTGAAAACGGAGCCTGCAGACCAAGCACGGGGCGAAAACTGACGCCTGCAGTCAAGTGCGTAGGGCAAAAACCATCCGCCTGCAGCCTAGACTCCGGGATTAATCCGTCCGTGGTCGGCACGCTCACTGTACTCACATGCCAGGAGACTTGGGAAAAGCAACGGGACAATGCGGCACCGCCAGTCGGAGGCAGGGACATGCACGGCACCGCCAGACCGTCTGCGCGCGGCAGCAGACCACGAGGAACGAGCAGCACAGAACCTGCAGAGGGGCCCCGCGGAGCAGCCCGCAGAAGAGCCCGCAGAGAGAGCAGTGGAGACACGCGAACCACAGCAGGTGCAGGGACACGGAGGAGGAGCAGACCACAAGCAGCCAGACTGAGGACAGCAGGGCCACGCGCACGAGCAACACGTGAGCAGAAGCGACCCCTCCAGAACAACGCATGCATTTGCGAACAGGTGCGTTAGCGACATGCACCCTGCAGACTTCAGAAGTTTGCAACCTTCAGAAGGCCGGGAAGTGGGTGTCTCTGGCTTTTAACTTGCTGTCCTGGTGGTTATTGGTGGATAAGATGTGGGCGTTTTGCTGGTGTAATGAGTAGAGGATGAGCAGGCTTGTAGCAGCAGCCGGGTCTACCACAGTGAATTTTCGCGAAGAGCTCCATTACTGAACAGTCTTTCAACCCACACCTATTTTACATGTTTTTCGTCGTAGGGAAAGCCGTAGCACACGGAAGAAACCTACACAGACATAGGGAGAACATGCAAACTCCACACAGAAACATTGCTATCAAATAATCTTCTGACTAAGTAATCTTTATTTATATACTGCCTTTTCACTGCAGATCTGAGTCTCAAAGCGGTTTACAATTGTTATTATTTCTCACTCCACACAGA